AATCCATTCAAAATTACTCAAGTTGTTGAGCGGAATGCCCGCCCGAATAAAAAGTGGAATAAAATTGTTGGTGAACCAACGCAACGGAGATCCAACGTCCTACAAGCAATGGTCTGTCTGGTACAGGAATCAAGGGTATTCAAACTGAGCTCCATCCAAGAGTAATAAATTCAATAGGGTAAACGAAGGAGCACCAACACCAAGGATTCCGTTATTATAGACGTTTTATTGTTGATGTGTTTCGTCATAACAATAGAAACATTAATATAGAAGTAATAATGATCATTTTATTTTTGTTTTCATTTTTTCCAAACAACTTGCATGAAAACCCACCTGGAAACCTTTGGATTTTGCATAACTCCAAAATTCCTCAAACTGTTTGCAGCGCTCATTGACAGCATCCACAATGATGAAGGCAAAGAAGCCATCGTCTATTGTCTTTTTAAAACTCTTGAACATGTTTTGTCTGTAGCTGTCCTCCAACTCTGCCTCATATTCGTATTCCAGAGACTAAAACAACAACAGACATCATACTGAAAATGCTCAGTGAAAACATTTGCATATTCAATCAAGATTTAAAGGAAATTTCAAAAGGATTGGTTCTGCAAACACAACTGTTGCTGAAACTTCTCATCATATTTCACCTTTGACCTTGAGGTGAGGACAACAAAGAACATGTTGTGATGTATCATCAATATATGAAGTTTCATCAAAACATTTTCATGTCAAGAATTAAATCTCCATACAAGACGAGAAAAATATGTGTAAAACATGCTCCTACTTTCATGGAAATGGAGGTAAACGCAAAGTATAACCAAAGAAAATCGAGCTTAACGCAAAGTATACAGTCAGGTAACCAAAGTCAGTGCTGTGGGAAAGGTAGGTCACAGTGACCTATATACAATTCATTGGTAAAGTTCTCCTCAAGATACATCCACATGTGAAAGTTTGGAAACTGCTATAAAAATCCACTAGACCTGTAAGCTGAAGACTTACTAATAACCCCCCTCTCCCTCTTGTTGCAATGCCTACAATGGGCTGCAAAATTGCATAACAAAAACCTGTTGATTATCAGCATTTATCCAGATACAAATAACTGTAACAAAGGTTTGTTACAAATGTCCCAAAAACTTTCTGAGCAATCGCAAATGAAGCATTGCAAAAGATTATACTAGAACTACCAAACACAACTCAACTTACAGGAGACGTATCACCAAATCAAAGGCAGTCGACTTGAATCCAGAACTTAAGTCTGACAGTCATTCAACATAAATAAATCTTTTATGTGCCACTCCTATAAACTATCAACAACATTAGCCCAACAGTACTTAAGTTATAACTGACAGGCAATCAGAGCCAACAATTGCCATTTGTAATCCAAAAATTCTAAATTTGGTTCTCTATATGCAGAAGTAAGTTTTCTAAAGAAGATATTTTTTTAATTTGTTAAAATTGAAATTGACATAAAAACTGTTAATATTCAGCTGGTAGAACACACCAACCACCAACTAACCTTTTTCTTGATCTTACGGCCAGAATCAGGATCTTTTTCAACCTTATCCACCTCCACCATGAAGTAGTCATCCAGACAAAGCATGCGAGGGGCACCGCCGCCATGTTGCACCTCCTTATCCTGTAAATATATGATTTTATACAATTATTTTTAAATATTTATTTATGACATGTAAAATTCAAAGGTCAGTGAGTTGATATTCAATACATGTACAAATATTTGAGGTTCCACGTAACAATATTTCATGTAATACCAGTCAATAACTTAAATGAGACATGATGATGGACCAACCTACAAGTCCTGCACAAATTACCTTAGGAATACTTTGACTTTTAAGACAGAAACTCCTGATATTTTGCTAAAAATGAACAAAATCCAAAGCTGAAAAAAATCCCACAGGAAAGCTGAGCAGGAAAGCTGAAGTCTCCCACTAACTACCAGTACTCCAACATCCTGTTAAAGTGAATTTGAAGAGTTTCTCTAAGTAAGAGAGGGTGAAAATTGATAATTTGAAGCTTATTTGACCATGCCATTCAATATATCATTCACCTGACATACTTAGGCAGTCAGCTAGGTGTCAAGAGAGCATGTGAGCTCAGTCAAAATAAGAAACAATGGTCAAACTCTGCAGGTGTCAACCATGACTTTATGTGAGAAAACAAAGTTACTTGGAAAGGGTGAAGTTAGGCCTAGCTATTGCAATAGGCTGTATCCATATCCTTACATCAAACATCCAGATATTATAAACTGGAAATAGGGCACACTGTGAATTGTTGAAACCATGCATACATAGCTCAATGTTTCCAATTTCACATGAATGCAGAGCTGTTGAGGTCGCAATAAACCCCCAAACAAGGAATAATGATGCTTAATATACCAGTGGCTGTGTTTCCCTACCTTTACAAGTTTGCCAACGTATGACTTGCCCGCTCCTGGTAGACCCCTGAGAATGACTACAATCTGTGCGGGCCTGCTGTTGCGGCCGGGAGGTACCAGCAGGTCGTCAACCTTCACTGATTCTATCTTAGGTTCATGTACCGACTGGTTTCCTCTGTCCTGGTCATATCTAAAATCTCTTGGAGCTCTGCAAAATTAACATTGAGAATTTCTGTCAGGAAAACTTCATTGCTGAGGGCATTTTCATCTTTTTTATACAAATATCAAATTAAAGAATAACTCAAAAGCATTAATTTTGTACTTCAGAGTATTGACGCCAGGGTCGACAGGGTATTGACGCCAGGGTCACCAAGGTATTGACGCCAGGGTCAACAAGGTATTGACACCAGGGTCAACAAGGTAGCGATGCCTGGGTCGAAATCACTATTTACTATTAACAGAATTTGTAGCACTCTACCTCGACTTTCCATACTCTCCAAGAGAAAGCTTATCAATAATGTTTATAAATGGACTTAGAAACATAAAGACGCAATATAATCAGACCATGAAGTTGCCATTGTGATGAAGAACCAGATGACAGGGTATTGTAGTTATGATGTAATGTACATGTTCTCAAACAGACTAGTATGGACAAAAAGTAATTTCTATCATATGCTTTAACATGTACTGACAGTAACAGAGGGGACAACATACCTTTCCTTTTCCGAACCATTAGCTGAAACAAAAGAATGGATTTCTTTACATAATTATGTACATATTGCAAATAGTCCAAAAAATACGAAATATTAAACAAGAGGCCCAAGAGGGCCTGTATCGCTCACCTGAAT